GATAGGCCAAGTGACTTCTTTGGAACTTGCCCAGTTCTGAGAGGGGGAAATCTGACCTGGAGGGAGTACAGCACATTGGGGTTTGCTCCTGACCCAGAGCCTTCATGATTCTCATTCTTAAGCTTCCCTTCCCTTATTCTGACAGCTTTTTTTCTTTTTGGCTTAAGGGTGTTTTTGGGGTTATTTTTTTGAGATTTCCTGTTTACACCCTGTCTAATTACTCTTTTTCTTATTTTTTCCCTAACGGGATGACACACATGGGTGTCTAAAAATATTGCATGTAACAACCAGCTTTGCATAAGGAGGATGTTTCTGTCCAAGAGAAACAGCATAAATATCCTGCATGTGCTTTTTTCCCAAATAAACATTCAGGCTCAGGATATTGTAGGGAATTTGTCTAAGTAGCCAAGGAGTAGGGTTTTTTCCTTTGCCTTGCTAATTTTCTTTTTAAAGGATGGATGTTCTGGAAAATCTGCTTTGATGATATTAGGTGGAGAATTTGTCTTTTTTTATTTGTGACAAAAGGGGAGGACAACATGTTGTTTCCTCCCAGCTAATGAAACCTTTATGATAATGCTAATTTTCTATGTAGAGCTACAATCTCACCATATGCTTTAATTTCCACACATGAATATTCTGAGAATTGTTTGTTTCCCTTCATTATCTGCCTTTTTTTACTGAAGATTTTGGTGAATCAGATTCTTGCTGACAGCCTGTAAATTAGGAGAGCTGCAGTATTTTAATGTAACTGTATTTCTACAGTGGAAAGTGTTTGCCTCCTTTCACTCCTCTCAGTTTTTGAGGTTTTGCTGCTTACTTGTGTACAGACAATACAAGTGAATTTGGGATGCTGGATTTTTATTGTTTCCCAGTCTCACAGTATGGTTTTGCCAAAAATAGAGCTGTGTAATGTCTCTCTCCTAATTTCCTGTTGGGAATGAGATGAGACACAGAGATGCTTTATGAATTTTTATGGATAATAGCTCAAATATTAGCAGGCTTTTAAAAAAAACTGCTACGATGACCAATTGGGGGGCATGTTGCAAATATTGTTCATTTGTACAGACGATGCCAAATCAGTGAGAATAAGCTGAAAACAGATGTGTTTGTATAAATATCTCAAGACTGTTCACACCAGCTCTTGACTGAGGCAGACAGCTGTGCTCATCTCGTGATGGATTGGTCCAACACATAGAAAATCAATTATATTGTTCAGATTAGCAGGGTGTCCTGAATAAAGATGAAAGAAAATGTATTAGTGAGGGCTCCAGTGCTTTGGTTTTTTGAGGAGCCTGGTGCCCTGGGAGTGTGGACACAGCACAAGTCCCTTCCCACAGCCTGAGGAAACAGACATGCAAGCGGATGTGCTGCGAGGAATAAATCAAAGAAATCACACCAGTGTCACTGGGAGAGGTAAAAAGGAGTCCTTTGCTGCTGTGGCTCCAGGAGCTCAGAGTCTCCAGCTGCTGAGCTAGAGGCACCTTTTCCCTGGCCAAAATCCATGGATGAAAGTGATGGAAGCCTCTTTATGAAGCTCTCCAGGTTTTCTCCAGAGGATGGGACCAGGTTGTTGGTACCTGTGACTGTGCTGGAGCATTGCTGTGGCATTGCTGTGCCCTGTCACTCCTGGGGACTGACACTCCAAAGCCTGGGAGGTGAGCTTGCAGCTGCCACAGCTTCCAAAGCTTTTGGTTCTACCTCCTGTACAGAACAGGGTTGTGAAATGTGAGTGCTGCCCTGTACCTCAGAGCCCTTTCTGCACAGGGAGCAGCTGGATGTGAGGAGAGAGCCGTCTCCTGGACATGACCTCTCTGGTGGGCGACATTCCTGATGTAGGATGGGCTTGTGCTTCCCTGTGGTAGCAATCTGGAGTGATTTTATTCTGATTGTAGGAACGGGGTGAGCCAAGTGATGTGCTCTCTGCCCCATCAGGAATGGGGTGGGGATACTTGGAGTGAGCTCCTGCACAGCTGCAGGAACCAGGGTGCTGGGGCTGAAGCTTTGGGTGTGCAGGAGGAGAAGGGCTCCGACTGTCCAGGCTTTGTTTGGGGATTGAAGCCTGCAGATGCAAAGCTGATGGTCACAGCAGCAGATCTGTGTTCCTTTGGCAGGCTGTGGTGGCACACAGTGAGTATCCCTGTGTCTCATCCTGGCTGCAGGAGGTGTCTTAGCAGGAATGTGGCCCTCAGGTGTTCAGGAATGGGCTGGTGGGGGGCAGAGGCGTGCAAGCAGCTCTTCTTGGAGCTACAGCCACAGGCGTTTCATGGCTCTGGACATCACTGTCCTGTGGCTTTGTGACTGTGTCCCCAAATGTTCCTGGGGTGACATGAGCCGTGGCCACAGAGCTCTGGGGATGCAGGTGGGGGCTGCCAGGTTTGTCACAGCAAAGGCATTTCACAGTGCTTTGTCACTGGGCACCTTGGCATCTTCTGCATCTTCTTGAGTGAGGTTTGCAACACTCTGGGAAGTGGATGTGTGGTTTCTGAGGAAGGATTCCTGGTGTCTCAGGTTTTAAATGTTGTCTGTGTGTATATTTGTAAATGAGACTTCTAAACTGTTTCCTTATGTTGTCTCATCAATAAAATCAGGGTTAATTACATCTTGCCTATCTTCAGGGCTGTTAGGAGTTTCATTGACTTTTAAGGTGCTTTGCAGTTACCTTGGATAGCTAAATTGAAGCACAGATGATGCTTGGTATTTCTTTTATCTTTTAATCCTTCTGGATACCTTTCTTTCTCCTGAGCATGAGGCTTTGTGGATGTGTTTGCTCTAACAGAAACCTTTTTTACTTAACAACAGACAACCGAGGCAATTAAAACAGTCAGAAGTGATTGATGTGATTTCACTGGGTGAAAGCTAAAGTAGCTCACAATTAAATAATGGCAACACTCGTGCTATCTCAGAGCAACAGATGGGGAATGGTTTAAAAACACTATTGGATCCGACACTTCCCAACAGGGGCAGATTGGTAACTGTGTGTCAGAGCCAGAAATCTGCTCCACCTTGAAGGGAGCGCTGATGAAATGATTAAGTGATGGTAATGGGCAACTTAGTTATGAGCCTGCCATGGCAGCCTTTCAGCTCTGGGGAACACATGGAACTGGGAGTGGATCATAACGGGTTTAAGGGCTCTGGGTGCTGTGTTTGGACAGCAGAGAAATCTCAGGGAGCGTGCTGCAAGCTGGAGTTGGGGTGGTGCAGCTCTGATTCCAGAATCCCAGGGGTGAATTGCTGGAGGTGGTACCTTGCTGGGAGTGCAGGGCTTGGGGATGGGGCTGTGCAGGGTGCAGCACCAGGGGATGATGCTCTGCAGGGTGCAGCACCGGGGGATGATGCTCTGCAGGGTACAGCACCGGGGGATGATGCTCTGCAGGGTACAAGGGATGCAGCTGTGAGATCACTGCTGACTCCAGGGTGGAGCAGCCCTGTGCTCTGAGCTGCTGCGTGCCCCGAGTGTCACTGCTCATCTCGCACTTCTGTACAAATTCATGATCATAGCAATAAGGGAAAGGAAGGGATTTCTTTCCTCCACTGGCTCTGCCAGCGGTCCTTGGGCCAGCACTGCTGTTTTGGTGGGCGGTGTGATGCTCAGCAGTGCTGAAAGTTGCCGATGCTGCTGCCCAGTTTTCCAGGACACTTCAGGGAGTTGTGCCTGCAGACGCTCATCTCTGACCTGCTTGCAGAGCTCCTCGGGAGGGCAGTCCCTCTCGGCTTTTGGTCCAAATGAGCTCAGTGAGTTGGGACAATGGAGCTTTGTTGCTGTGGGTGCTGGGGGCAGAGGGGCTGCCTGGTGACAGAGGTGGCTGTGTCTTGGCACCCTGGCTGTGCAAACCGGGGCAGAGCTGCGAGCTCTCTGCGGCTGTGCTGTAATCCCGTAGAAATTGTGTTTATTTTTAAGTCTCTGCAAGGCTTGGGTGTGCAGCGTGCACAGGGGTAGGAGGTGATGAGAGGGGCTGATGGCACTGCAGCTCAGCCCTGTCCTTGTCCCTGTCCCTGCGGAGCCAGAGGGGTGTGAAAGGAGAAACCATTGCGTGTTACTGTTTAATCCCTTTGGGAGCGCTGTCTAAGCAAACACCCCCGGCCTCTGCTCACAGCTCACAATTTATGGTCAGCTGGAAGCTTGTGCTGTCAGGGAAATGAGTTACTTTGAGGCTGGGAGAACAAATATGAAAGCCAGGTTTCCTTCACCAGCTCTCACCCGGAGAGCGTTGCAAAGCTGGTCCTCACTGGAGCTGCTGAAAGGCCCAGAATTAGAACAGATATTAAATAATGTAAAAGCTTTCATTGAAATGTATTAGATTTCAAAGGGCAGACACTAAAAGGGCATAATGGGCAGCTATTTCTGAATTGCTCGCCTGCTAAAGAGAGGAAGAGACTTGGTTTGCAGGAGATAAATGTGACATGAAAGACACATTGGTTCAGACAGAGCATCAGAGGTTGCAAAGCTCATCCCATTCTTAGCAATGCAGTTCAAGCACCTTCTTGATGTGTGCAGCTCCTGTGTAAGAATCCCATGGAAGTGATGATTTTCAATAGCTGCCCAAGTGAAAATGTTACTGTGCTGATGGAGACTCCATCTGCTCTCGGCACAGGGGAATGGACCAGATCTGGGCTGGCCCATCTGCAGGGAGGGTTGGATGGATCTGGGTTTCCTGGGTCCCTGATCATCTCCTCCTCTCCAGAGCAAAAGCCCAAGGCTGTGGCACTGGTCAGGCTGGTTCATCCTCACGTTTAATTCTCACAGCATTTATGAGTTTTTTATCTGATCCTGAGTGCTGCTAAGCACCCTCAATTCCAGCATGAAGTTGACAGGAACTGCGAGTGCTGAGGCAGCTCCGCAGATGGAGTCCTTGGAGAAGGTGCTCGGGTACAGAGTCAACTCCCTTATCCATCAAAATCAGACACTTGCTTCACACTGCCCTTGTCCCCAGGCCTCACATGCTCTGGTGCAAGCCAGGAATGCTGCCCTTCCTGACAGGGCTGTGCTGCTGTCTTTGCAGATGACCGAGGGCCGGCACTGCCAGGTGCATCTCCTCGATGACAGGAACTTGGAGCTGCTGGTTCAGGTACACACCTCGCTCTTTTGGGGACTGGCAGCCAGTGCCAGGTTCCTCTGCTTGTTTTCTTTTGGGGGCTGAAGTGAGGGTTGAAGACAAGTTACACTAGAAAAACTCAGAGTGGAATAATTGTGCTGAGGCAATGTGTGCTTCTCCTGACACCTGGGTTAGCTGAAGGATTTCCCCATGCATTGTGGGCAAAATATCTGCCATCAGTTCTGCATTCAGTTTTTCCTTTCACCAAAATTCATACAGGATGTTAAACACACCCCTTGTGGTAGTGTTTTTTGTCATTTAGATGGGAAGAGAACTCTGTGGTTTTGAGGATGTTTTTTTCCCATAACAGAACTCAAGGCACAATATTCTCCACTATACAATATTTTCTTAATTGAAAAATCCTTCCTGCTATAAGTGTAGGAAAGCTGGATGCTGCCTTCTTCCCCAGAAAGAGGAAAGCAGCACTCAGTCTGTGCACTTCAGCTTAATGTCATGGATTAAGCACAGAATTGCCTCTCCATGCTCCACACATCCCACACAGCTCCACTGGGACACCCTGAGTCTGATATATCACTTCTGTATTCAGTTGTACAACAGGGTTTTAGCGTGGCCATGTGTGCTTAAATGTCAGTATTTGCACAGAAAAAAACCCCTATTTTTTACTAAAAAATAATGAATAAAATTATTTTTATTCTTTCAATAGCCCAAACTATTGTCTCGGGAGTTACTGGATCTGGTGGCCTCACACTTCAACCTGAAAGAAAAGGAGTATTTTGGGATAACATTTATCGATGACACGTGAGTGTGTTTATTGAGTTTAAACAGCTGTGTCACTATTGCAATGTGAAACCTTATCTCTGATACCGTGGCAGCTTGGCATGATGGAAAAAATTTCTTTTTCTTTCAAAGAAGAAAGAGTTTCCTACCTTGTGCTTGTGCTGCTTGGCTGGGGAGAGGGGAAGGCACAAAATAGAAAATATTGGAAAATATCTTCTGGGCACAAACCAGAGAATCCTTGTAAAATATTTTCCTGATGATTTCACATTTCATATTTGTCTCATGCAGTGAAAAAACTGATTCAGTGATAATTTCCCATGTGAGCACCCTCAGCTTTCCTCCTCTGCACTTTTAGTAACAACAAAAAGGTTTTGCATTTATTTCCAAAGTGAATTGCTCCCACTGCTTTGCACCTGAATCTCAAATGTGTTATTGAGCCTTTTAACCCCAAATTTCCCGAGCAGAGTGAGCTGTGGGGTTAGTCCTGCCCAGGAGCCACTTTCCCCTCTTTGAGCCTGGGTGTGATGCTCTGTGGGAGATCTGTTCCATGGCATTAACCCAGAGTCAGCTGGGTTAATTAACTGCACTCTCACCTGGTGCTTAGGCTCATCTCTCAGCAGGGCACTGAAATGCTTCCCCACATCTGCTGCCTGCAGGGCCAGCCTCTCCATAGGAGCTTCAGCTCCCCCAAAAAGCTGGAGCAGAGGTGCTTAGGGCAGTGGGGACGTGCAGCTGTGCACTAAAACAGCCCCTAAATAAACCCCTTGTCTAATGGGACTAACATTGCTTCCTGCTGCTCTCCATTGCCACTTTTTATGCAGTCCTGGATGGAAGCCTTAACCTCCAAATCCCATCAGAGCCGTGTCTGGGGCCACCCTGCTGAGGCACATCCCACATGCAGGAGCAGGAGTGGCCATGGGGACATCCTGGAGCTGATGGGAGCTGCTCCCTCTGGGGCCCTGACCCCAGCACTGTGTTATTTTTACCAACATCTTGGGCTATCCCTGGAATATTTTTACCACATCCTTGTCCGTTCACTCGCTGGAAAATACTTTCCCCCAGCTCTTCTGTAAATCCCTTGAGGATACTGTTTGTACTTGGCTTGTTTTTTCCCCCCAGAAGAGCTGCTATGAAATTCTTCTGGATGTTTTTGGTTGCTGGCACTGAGTCACAGCGAGGTTTAAAGTGCTGCCAGGGGATTAGCTGAAGGCTGTTGGCTTCCCCAGGAACTCCAGTGGGATTCCAGGGCCTGCCTGGGTGTATGCACAGGGCTGGGTGCTTGGAGGGAGTGTGTGGCCTCTGGAGGGCACCCATGGCTCAGCCTTGCAGGGTTAAGGGTTGGGTAAAAAAAAAAAAAAAAAAAAATAGGAGATAATTTGATGAGATGTTTGCCTGCCTCGGAGCTGAGGCTTGACCTTTATAAAGTAACACTTGGAGTAATTGGGGGCACTGAAAAGAACCAATTTCTGTATATTCCATTTTCCAGTTTTTAACCTTCTCCCCAACCTGTTTCCATAGAGGTCAGAGTGTCTGGCTGCAGCTGGATCACCGTGTCCTGGACCATGACTTGCCCAAGAAACCAGGGCCAGCAACTTTGTACTTTGCCGTTAGGTGAGTAATTGTTTCCACCAAGCAAACATTACCACTTGGGTTTATTTGTCACCAGGGGGTTTTGTTTAAAGGAACTGATTAGAGATTTGATAAAGGAAATAAATGTCAAAGCAATGTGTTATTTTTAGAAGGAGATTAGGCCCTGGCTAAGTGCTGCTCTCTTTTGTGTGTAACTATGAAATAAAGTAGGTTGGAACCTGCTACTTTCTAAACTCTTATTAGGACGTGATTCCTAGGGTGGGTTTGGGTTTTGTTTTTTGTTTAAAACCTCATCTTTTAAATATCTTCTTTGCCTGACTTGTCTTTGAGTGTGCTAAATTGCAATACAGTTTATTCAAACAATTTAACTTACTTTTTTCCTTCTGTTTACTTAAGGGCTGTCTGTACTTTAAAGGGATTGCTGATGGCTGTTTTGCTCACGGCTTAACCAGTCCCCAGGAAAGAATAAAATCCCTAGCAAAATGATGATTTTGGCCAATGTAATTGCATTACTTTAGGGCTGCTGCTGGCAAAGCTCTGCTGGTTAAGGGCCTGAAAAAACCCACATCCTACGAAACAGAGCTGTGCTGGCAGAAGAGATCAAGCATCATATTCTTAATATTGTTGGAGTCTTTGTTTTCCTTGCAGTCTGTGAGGGAACGTGAGAGCAGACTGACCTCATTTGCTTTTCAGATCTGGGTAAATTTATGCCTGGTGTGCTTAATTATTTGAAGCACTTCCAAAGCAGAGCCTCTTGTGTAGCTGGGTCAGTTGGCACTGGAGCCTCCCCATGTCCCCCGCTGGTCACCAGGGGAATGGGACAAACAAGTGGCACTTTGTTCTGCCTGAATACGTGCTGGTGTGTGATGGTGTCCAGAGCTTCTCTTCCACACTCATCAGAAAGAAAAAGCTCCATTTATAAAGGGGTTGATGGGCTCTGCACTGTGTTCACAATGTTTGATCAGGATCTGGGAGGCCAAAACCTGTGGCTGCCCAAGAAAGCTGTGAAGGCAATCCTATAACTTGAGCATTCTTTTGGTTGGAATTTATGCTGTTTGCTCATGGTGTTCATTGTGGCCCTCTCTGTTGCAAGGTGGTTCTCACAGGACTGGGTGTGCAGAGACTTGGGCAGGAGTTAATGTGTGAGGAGTGGGCTTGGAAAGATCAACTTTCAGAAGGGAATTTTAAGCCTGACTACTCTGGGGTCATTACATACAAACCAAGGAGGTGGGCAGTGAGATGGAGAGCAGAGGAGGAAGATAGAGAAATAATTAGCACTAGAGAAACTGCCTGATCCATAGAAAATAGGAATTCCAGCAGAAAAGCCACTTCAAAACCTGCAGTTTCCAGGTGCATTGCTGGAAATGGAGGAATCTCCAGATTGCTGGTTTTCCTTCATCTCATCCCTGAGCTTTTGCTGTTCAGTAAGGAAACATGTGATAATCCTTTGAGATTTTAATTATTGCCAGCTGGCATAAACTCAATCCAGTCAGGGGTTTTTGGATGGTACACTCAGCTGAAGGGCTCTGTGATGCAGATTGAGGACTTTCAGAAATGTCATTTTAGTTTCAAGAATGCTGACAGCACTGGAAGTAGAAGCAGAATGTGCACTTTATGGTGCTCCCAAATGTGCCTGCCATGCCCTGAACATCGTTATCTCTGTGGTCCAGTGTTCCCCATCTGTACTGGGGTGATAAGAAGGTACAGCTTGTACCGTGGAGGAAATGGAGCACAGAGACACAGCTGGGATTGGGGCAGTGCCCCTCTGTGCCCTCACCCTAAATCCATAGATCCCACAGCTTCCTGATTGTACCAGGAGAGTCTGGGAGCTGCCTCTCTTCAGAACCAGAGCTGTCCTGCTTCTGAGGGTAAGTCAGCCACACCTGACCCTGGCTGAAAGAAACTGGAAGTGCAAATGAGGTCATTAGCTAGGAAAATCACTTCAGGGTGCAGTGAAGGCTTTAGCAGGCTGAGGAAGGTCCACTCTGTGAAGGGCTGGTCTGGCAGCAGGTTGGGAAAGGATGAAGAGGTGGGTCCTGCCCTCTGCTCTGCATTTCTGAAGAGAAAGACTCAAGGGTATTTAAAGTAAAATTTAGCAAAGCTGTTGGGGAAAAAAATATATCAGGTGAGATCAAGAGAGGGTGGAAATACCTGTGGGTCGTAGAGTTCATGGGGAAAGGTGAGTCATGGAAATGTATAACAGCTTTCAAATGTCTGGGGCAGGCTGCTGGGCTGCCCCTTGGACAGGCTGCATGCCTGTGAAATGGGTAAATTATCTGCAGAGGCGTTCTGGAGAGTGCTTTAAAATTAATTCAATGGAACATGCTGTAGGAATGTGACATATTAAAGCAATTACTATTTAATGTATCACTTTTCTGAAGTCACAGCATAAACACTGCACACATTCCTGACACGTGTGGCAGGTCCCAGCTTTGCTGCTCCCTAGCACGTGCTCTGTGCTGCTGCTGGGGGCTTGTTCAAGTGTCCTACAAATCATCCATGCCAAGATGATCACCAGTGCAAAAGTCAGAGGAGGGAGCTTGAGGCTGTCAGGAGCGTCACGAGCAGCATGGGGCTGTGGGAGAGATTGGTGTGGCTCTGATTGCCCCGTGTGGGTCATCCAGCCCTCCTGCTCTCCAGGACAGGACAGATCCCTGGGGGGATCTGCATTGCTGGGCACTGCTGCTCCAGGTCTTTGCTTGGCTGGAAAAAAGTTGTGTCTCCTGCCTAGCTGTTTAGTGGGAGCATCTGGACCTGGAGTGAAGTTAGGGGTTCTTACTAACATCTCTGCTCTCCTGGAAGGAAGGTGGTCCTGCAGGGCTGCCAGCACCCCCTGTCCTCCAGCAGAGTGTTGGACTGGCTTCCCCACCTGCAACATGTTTGGAGTGGCTTTTTCCACTGCTGTGACTTTGCCTGCAGAGGGGAGATGGGCTTTGCTCCTGTAGCATTCAGGGTTTTCATCTCATTTGAAAAGTCATCAGATATCCAGGATCTATTGAACCAGGAGTCCCTGTTCCCTGTGTGCTGTCAGGCTGTGATTTCTGCTTGTTCCCTCCTTAAAGGCAGGAAATTAAGTGCAGTAGCTCATAGTTCCTCTGTGCTATTTTATTGCTGGAGAACAAAACACTGAGGAAATAAAATGACTTGGGAGGAAGATGAAACCTATTCAAGAGAGTAACTCATGTTTTTGGTTCTTTTTTTTTAATTTTCAGGTTCTACATTGAAAGCATTTCCTTTCTCAAGGACAAAACTACAGTGGAGCTGTTTTTTCTGAATGCCAAGTCCTGTGTACACCAGGTAAGACTTGGAGCTTCTTGTGCATCTCTCTTCTATTGCTCCTTTGCCACATACTCAGTCCTGAGAACTTGGCAGGAGCTGTGTCTGATTTCCAGAACTAATTGAAGTATTAAGATCTCAGCGTGCTGACTCCCTCCTTGCCTTGAATGCTGATGCTTCATGTACATGAATGAGGCTGATGATGGTTTCCCAGTCCTGCTTTCACAGCCCTGCTGTGTGCTCACTGCTCTACAGTGAGTCTGAAATACTCAAAAGCTTTTAAGTTATTTGAAATCTGGGCTGTAACTTCCCAGGTTACTTCCCACTTCTGCTCAGTGGCACATTCTCCTACAGACTGCATTGCAAACACTCAGTGCAAGTGTCTTTACTGACTTTGAATCAAATTTGTCTTAGGAAGAAAAGGCCTGTGAGGAAGGTCCTGTGCTGTGGATTTGGTCCCTGATTCCTTTATTTCCTGCCTTAATTCAGTGAGATAGTAAAGTAATAGTAATAGCAAATGCTATGCTTCTACATCAAGCCTATACGGGACTCATATACTATCAATGATCATCCCCCTTGGGAAATAAACTGTTCCCCCCTGGAGATGATTGACCCAGGGAGTTCAGAAAAACATCTCGGCAATGGGTTGACCCTCGGACTGGCTTTGCAGACTCGGGTTTGTCAGAGAAACTCATAGACTGGCTCCATTGGATTGGGAGTTCTCCCCTTAAACCTGTTCAGAAAGTCGATACCCTCAGGACGTAAACCATCCAGAGACTGGTATACTTGGCTGACCATACCGAGGTGGGCGTGGGCCTTCTCGAGTCCCCTGACCTGCTGATCCGTAAGGCAGTTAAGGAATGGCTTCATCTCCTACCGAAGCATGTGATGCCATCTTGTATTTGAGTTTTAAGGATTGTGGTCTAGGTATTATCAAGCTGGCGGCACTTATTCCAAGTATACAGGCAAGAAGACTCCATAGATTGGCGCGGTCTTCGGATGAGGCTCTGGTGGGTTTTTTAAGAGAGGAACATCTGGAATTATTTGAAAAGTTGTGGGTAAGAGCTGGTGGAAGATAAGAGTCCATCCCGCCAATTTGGGAACCTATACCAAGGATACAAGGTGGTGGTGATGAAAGCCAGTCAGAATGGGAGGTATCTACTCCGAAGGTCTGCTACCCAAAACCGTGTAATTGGCAGAAAACAGTTTCAGAAATGGATACATCTGGTTGCCCAGGGCCATGGTATTGAGAATTTTGAGAATGATGACATCAGTAATGCCTCGATTAGGCAGTATAAGGGCATACCTCACTGAAAACTTATAACGGCCCTACAACTAAGAGCCAGTGTCTACCCGACAAGAGAGTTCCTGGCCAGGGGTAGGCATGAGGATTTTGTTCAATCATGCCGACATTGTGGTGCTAGATTGGAAACTGTAGCTCACATTGTCGGGAATGTCCAATCACTCAAGATGCCAGGATCAAAAGACACAATGCCATCTGTGAGATCCTTAGCTGTGAAGCTAAGAAAGAGGATTGGACGGTTTTTCAAGAGCCACACCTGCGAGATGAGGTTAATGAACTGTTTAAGCCAGATTTAATCTTTGTGAAGGATTCCAAGGCGTTAGTGGTCGACGTTACGGTCGGATATGAGCACAGTAATTCCTCATTGAGGGAGGCTGCTGCTGAGAAGGCCAAAAAATATCAGCGCCTTCACCCGCAAATACAACAGCTGACTAATGCGGTAAATATTGAATATATAGGCTTCCCCATGGGGGCTCGTGGAAAGTATTGCAAGAACTCAGCTGCTTTCGGCCCTCGGTCTCTCTAAAACAGACTAGAGAAGACCGCCCGGGCCCTGGCATCCAGAGTCCTTGTTGCCTCTGTAGATATAGTACACGTATTTGCTAGCAAAGCCAGATCAATTGTACCTGTGTAGTATTACTGTGGAAATAAACTAGGCCCCTTCCCTTGGCCAGTTTGGCTGGACAGTGGAATCAGTTTCGGGTGGGAGGGATTCATCCATCATAACCCTGTCTTTTTAGCCCATATTTTGGGCTTTAAATTCTAATCTGGACCTTCAGGTGGACGGGCCACCTTACTTAACCCGGAAAAGAGACTTATATTATTTATATGTTTATTCAATGGCAGTCACAACCACTTGTTGGAATGTTTTCTGTATTTATTTTCTGATTGAAAAGCTTCCACTGTTTTCCTAAAATACTCAGATTGGTAGAGTACATATTTTTAAAAGGCACATCAGGAAGTGGTAATGAAAATCTTAAAGAATAAGGTTGATTTGCTGCAGGTACATATTGGTCTGGAATACGAGTGGTGTGGCAGCCAACTTTGCCATGCCCCTACACGCAGCTGCACTTCAGTGAACTTTACTCTGATGCTTCTGGGATTTTCCAGTTAATGTCAAACTCTGGTGCCTTTTATTTTCACTCATGGTTCAATCAGAGGGGGTCACTTGGTCACAAATTTCCTTGGGAAACAATCCTTGGTGGTGGAGCTCAGGGTAGCCAGCCAAAGCTTTCACCATCAATATGCTTCAGATTTTGGAGGGTTCTTAATCAGGATCCAGTGTTCATTGTTTTATGAAAGCATATAGAAACCTGGAAGTGGTTGATAGCAGAGCTGTGACTGTGCTTTGTACAGAAATTTCTTTCTGGAAGAGTGAAGGAAATTGGTGCATTTTTACAACATGCTGAAGTTTGAAAGATGCTCGAAGAACTTGGGGCCTCACTGGTTATGGTTATTAAAAAGCAAATCTGCATATTTGACATATCTGCCACTTAAAATGAAGGGTCTTGGCAGCTTGTAGCCATCCTTAAATTGCTCCTTAACTGGAGTAGTTTAAAAAGACAACACAAATAATTTTGGAATTGGAAAATGGGTCTGGTTTTGGGATGGAATGTGGAAAATGCCACTGCTGTTGTAACAAACCCTACCCAATATTAACACATTTGAATGCCAGTATATGTGTTTATGTATATGTACAAAGCATATCAGAAAGCAAAGGAGACGAGAAGCATAAAAAAGAAGTTTGAAGGCAGGCTGGCTCTTTTATTTTTCCCTATGATTTGTAAGGTGTGTGCTTTAATTGTAACAACCCAGAGTGTGGCGTCCTTGTTCCTGCTAGCAAAACTGCCAGAAGCAGGGGGTTTCTGTTGTGTCCAGTTTCTGTGGGCAGCAGAGGGATGAGGATGAGGAGCATCACTTCCTCCTTAGAGGAGGATCTCTGGGCAGCACCAGGTGATTCAGCATCCAGGGAAAGCTGGGGAGGCCTGGCTCTGCCTGAAGCTCTCTCTGTGCTGGTGGTTTCACAGCCCAGCTCCAGCCTGTGGCTCCTTCAGCAGGAGCCAGTTCATCTACTCTCAAGTAGCTTTTAACCTTGCAATTAACTCCTGTAAAAATATTCTCTTCTACGTGGCAAACTTCAGGTCAGTCTCCAGGTTTCAGGGAGTCGTGAAGGGCACATAGGGCCAGCCCTCATCCTAAGCCCCTGAGATGGGGACAGGAGGATGCACAAAGGCCCCTCAGATGTGCTCCCACAGCCTGTCCTCTCCCCTTTGCTGGCTCCTTTGTGGGGCAGGGAAGGAGCCAGGGCATGTCTGAATAGGAGCATCCCCAGCTCCATGAGGCTGATGCTCGCTGATGACAGCCAGGAATGTTCCCTGGCATTTCTCAGTCCTTAATCCAGCTCCAGGAGGTTGGATCTACCTCAGCTTGGCTTTTTGATTTTGCTTTTTTTTCCCCTTCCTTTCCTTTCTTTCCTGTATTCTTGGAGAGAGGAAACCCCAGTGTGTCAAAAAGCAGGAGCCCACAGCCAGCCCCTGTGCTCAGGAGAGCTCCCCAGTGCACAGGCAGTGCCAGAGGATGCCCTGCCAGGGCAATATCCTCACCTGGATCTCTGCATGAAGCCTGTGCTCAGGAGAGCTCCCCAGTGCACAGGCAGTGCCAGAGGATGCCCTGCCAGGGCAATATCCTCACCTGGATCTCTGCACGAAGCCTGTGCTCTGTGTGGGCCAGGAATGTGGTTTGGGATAGATGCTGCAATACCTGGGGTGTGCTAAGGCCTGTGTGGATAAGATTGCTTCAAAGCCAGTCGTGTTTTTTTGCTTTCACAAAGGTGTTTCCAAAGTTTTCACTGCAGCTTTTCCCTATAGGGAAAACGCAAATCCAGGGTGGTGCAAATGCCTGATGCTTGAGTGCTCTTGTGACATTCCTGAGCACTGGCATGTGTTGACAGCACAGCAGTGTGGGTACCTGTGCTCCCTTGCCTTTGGAGGACAGTGATGTTTTTCTGAGCAGGGAGGGGGTGGTGCTGTCCTGCATGTGCCATGGGCATGCCAGTGCTCCTGCTGGCACGGGGGACACACCAGGAGAGCCAGACAAAGGCTTGAGCCAGCCCAGCCAGCACAATGGCAAAGCTCTGTGCCTGCCCTTCCTGTGGAGGGGATTTACCCCTGGCTTACAAGGGCTGCATCAGAAATGCATCAGAAATGTATTTACAGTATTCTTTGAGATGTCTGTGTGTGAAATCCTGTAAGTGGCTGTATCTAATCAAAGAGAATGGAATCCCCTCAGGAAGTTCAGCACCTCTGGGGTCAGGCTGGAGCTGCTGGGCAATGTGTGCTGGCTGTCCTGTACCAGATTAATAAAAATTTAGGGTAAATACTATAGCATGTTATATTCTTAGTTACATAATATATTACAAAATATGATTATGAGTAATAAATAATGAAATCAAAACCTGCATGACAGCTCTGAAAAGGATGAAGGTTTGCATGGTGTTCTTCAGTGCACAGCCATGATTCTCCTCCTCACCTTTCAACCCCACATTCCTTCTTGCAAATCTCTCTGCTCCTTTCTGCAAATCAGGTACTGCTTTACCTTGCCAGGACTTGGAGGAATCTGGGCCTTGTGCATTTTGCAACCTCTGTAGACATTTTGGCAAGGAAGTGACAAGATAGACAATAAAACCTCAGCTGCCAAAAACATGTTTCTTTCTACTCCC